CAATAATTAAAGGTGCAGTAGGTGATTGTCTTCAGAAGCATGTTTTGTTGTGCTGGTTGAAAGTCTCTTCACAGTCCAATAGTATTGATTACAGTAAATGATCTAAATGTGTTTATATGTATTTTTATATTCAGGGTAAAGCATAAAACTAAAAAATGTTCATCCAATTAAATAGAGTCGGACCGACATCTCTCATAATTCTGATAAGCAGTAGATTCGGTCTTCTGCGCATCTGTTCACGCAGATCCTCCATTCGCGCGTGCCTGTCTGCATAAGCGGCCGCGCGGTCACGAGACAGACCGGGAGAAATCAAATGCTGAATTAATATTGGAGTTACTTTAGCACGCTGGAGGAAGGACTACACCATGGCTGAAGTATTACTGTTAGACAGCTCATGTTCTGTGTTAAAACTGTTTTAGTCAGGCTAAGCTTATGTTAGATTGTGTTCTGTTATGAATAACTTACATGCACAGACGTGTTGATCAGCCACTGAAATCTCCCGGTGAAAGATTGACGTGATTATTTTCAGTTTCATAAGGTCCTTTTACAGCATCGATAATGTAGATTTATATTTAGTTTAACAACAAAACACCAGTAAATAGCGCTATTCTGCCTAACCTGCTTTATTGAGCTGAAGTTGATTTTATATTTACATTGGGTCATTTTTGAACAATGACAGCCTTCCTATACTGTTTACCGCTACTCTGAATATTCACTCTGAAATAGCATGTAAGTGTAGCTCAGTAATAAATGTAATTCCTGCACGGTGCTGGCACTAACTAACTGGCGAATGACATGAACTAGTGGGTTGTCTGTCGGCTGTTGTGACGCGGTGCACACGCTCGCGATTTCAGGGGGTGTGGCTTTGAATCACAGTCCCTCCCCGCCGTCCAAAGATAATATGCTAAGCGGTTAGCATTTTGGCAGATCACCTACTGCACCTTTAAGACATAAAAGGAAAAAGTAAATTTTTATTAACAAAAACGTTAATTTATTCATATTTCCTTCAGCTTAGTCCCTTATTTATATCCCACAGCGGAATGAACCGCCAACTATTCCAGCACAGGTTTTACACAGTGGATGCCCTTCCAGCTGCAACCTAGTACGAAGAAATAACCTTACACACTCACATTCACACACACACTACAATCAGTTCAGTTAATCAATTCCCCTATAAGCGCATGTATTTGGACTGTCAACTTTGGGATGTGAAAACCCAATAAAAATAAATAAATAAATCCCCAAATTACTAAATATGTTCATCTGGAGCTGTTTTATTGTAAAAAAAACAGTTAAACGGTCAGAAATATGTTTTATTATTTACAAAAAATTTTATAATAATAAAAATAATATACATAAAAATAATAATAATAAAATAATAATAAAAATAATAATAAAAAAATTTAAAATACATTGATAAATAAAATTAAATTATAAAATATTATTATTAAATTATATTAAATTAAATATTATTATTATTAAATTTATAATAATATAATAATAAACATTAGCAGCAAATGCATTAGCAAACAAATAGCTTATTAAACTTAAAAGCTATTATAAATAAATAAGATCAAGTTATCAAATCTCACTGATCATTTCTTCACTGTATAGCCTACACATTCTGATTAAAGAGCAGCAAATGAATCTCTCATTTATTTGGATTTTTCGTTTGATTACATTAAATAGAAGGTGTCACTTTAAAAACGCACACATCTAACATTAAAAAAAAGCATTTGACTGTGTTTGAAAAAAAAAAAACACCAGCAAGATCGACATCTTTAGATGTTATTATAATTAATTAAGTGTATATGTCTGTTCAAACACGCACCCAAAACCCAGACTTTCGCTCTGCTTTAAATCGCGTGTACAGAATCCGTTTGGGAAATAGCGTCTATTTATCACTATGGAGCGGGTCAGCTGACAGTCACGCACCGCTGTATGACTGTGTTGAGGATTGCATAGGAGGGGAGACGGCACCTGTAATGAAAAGGAAAGGTAATCCCACCACTTTTATATTTATTTCAAAGTGTTTTCATGCCTAAATAAATATACAGGACGATAGCGGGATAGAACTGTAAAATACGGGATAATCCCAGGAAAAACGGGAGGGTTGACAGGTGTGGTTTGGACTGTGGGGGAAACCGGAGCACCCGGAGGAAACCCACGCAAACACGGGGAGACCATGCAAACTCCACATCGAAATGCCAACTGACCTAGCCAGGACTTGAACTAGCGACCTTCTTGCTGTGAGGCGATAGTGCAACCCAATGAGCCACCGTGCCACCTTGAAATTGTAAATGAAAAAGCTTATTTATCATCTGCCCTATCACTTTAAAATAACAAATAACTCTATATTTAGGCTAAAACACAACTATATTTATTTATTTATTTGTTTATGTATTTGTAGGGGTTTCACGATTTCGATTTTTTTAATCGAAATCGATCGAAATTTATGCTCAATTTCGATTATCGAATCAAAAAATAGAATCGTCGATGCTGCCACGCCCCCATGTCACGTCAGCTTGGCTTGCCAAGCGGGAAAAAACAGGCTTGTTGAAGTGCTTGTTAAACTGCAGATACAGGAGACCCGTCGACAGAACTTAAACCCTCTCCTCTTTCAATGAAGTCGCCGGTGTGGAAGCATTTTGGATTTCCAGTGAGTTATGTTGACAACGTTCGTGTTGTCGACAAAAAACACAGTTTTGCAAGATCTGCTATGTACATATTAGGGTTCGTCCGATAGACAACACCGGCATCGCGATCCTCCGCCCGCCCCCGTTGCAAATCCGCTTGCGAAAAGTACACACTCAGGCCCTGTTTACACTGTCTTTGTTTTTTAATGGCATTTTAGAACGACAACGATTTGACATCCACAGTGGCGTGTAGCATTTCTGAGCAGCCCTCCTTCCTCTCTACCTCTGACACACAGACACAGACACACACACAGCCATGCGCTCGGTCCAGGCAGTCAGAGGATCAGTAGTCTGCTTAAGTCTTTCACTCACTTGTACTTAGTCATTTTAGCGAACACCTCAGATACTGTTGGCTGGTTCCTGTTGGTTGTGCACCTTTTTTACCGACGCCATTATAACGATACAGATCACTGCCTATTCACGAGTCCCGCAGAAAAAGTGATTGACAGGTGGTAATTATGTGTGTATCTTGCCTTTATTCATTTACTGTATGATTTGTTTATGGGTAAAACAAAGACCATGCAGGTCAGGTAGTTTAAACGGTAGGCTACAAATAATTAATTGGTCATTAATTAATTATTCATAATCGAAAATCGAATCGAATCGTGCCTTTAGAATCGAAAATGTAATCGAATCGAGGATTTGGAGGATCGTGACACCCTTATGTATTTGCATATGTTTGTACTTTTTTTCTTTTGTTTAAATTTCTAAAATGAATCGTCATTACACTTAAGTTTACAACAATAATAAAGCTTAACAACACGTTTTTAATGATTATTGAAGTAATTATAAAGTTTTAATTCGTTAATTCATCTTCATTCACAAGTAGCAGCTACTCTACATTTCTGTCCGTTCGCATCTCATCCCTTTGTGTCCTCTGGCAGCATTTTGTCAAACCGCTGTTACACCTAAACACATTTTCATAATCCCTCTGTTCCGCGGCGATGGTCATTTTGTACTGTCACTCAACGTAAATAACCAAAAACCAGGTAAATTCCAGGTAAGTTTACCTTTTTTACATGCAAACATTAGCATAAGAAGCCACAAATGCTTTTGGATTGTTAGGCTGCATTAATTCAGACAACCGGAGCCGGAAACACATCCCATAAGACATTATAATTTGAATTGCATCTACGCTCATGTTAGCCTGTTTTTCATCATCCCGAGATCTCATAATCCTGGACCAGGCCGTATCCTGAGCAGATGCTGTGGAGGAGTTGAGAGCTGATTCCTGTAAGACCCCAGTGACAGAAGAGTCTTCACATTGATCTTGTGGCCCAGCCTGAACATCCACCGGTGACCTACTCACCCCTGCAGCATGATGGATGTCCAGCGTTCTCTGCCTAGTCTGCAGCTCTGCACAGGAAGATTGGCCAGAGGAGAAATGGTCGAGCCCAACTGAGCCTGGTTTCTCTCTAGGTTTTTTTTCTTCATTTTGGTCAATTGGTGAAGTTTGTTCCTCCGCTGTCGCCACTGGCTTGCTTGGTTTCGGAGTTGTGGAGCTGTGCATTGATGGATTTTCAGCAGTGTAAATTAAACCACACTGAACTGAAATTCAACTCTGAAAACAAGACTGACACACTTTCAGTTTACTAGAACTTCTGTGTTCAGCTGCTTTGACACAATCTACATTGTAAAAGCGCTATAGAAATAAAGAGGAATTGAATTGAACTGTTAGTCACTGTAAATAGCCAAAAACAGGTAAATTCACCTTTTTTTTATGTTAACATTTGCATTTGGAGCCAAAAATGCTTTTGAAATCCAAATCCAAATCAAAAAGGATTGTTAGGTTGCATTCATTAGAACTACCAGAGCCGGGAACACTTCATAAAGGACATTTTAATTTAAATAGCATCTACGCTTATGTTAATCTGTTTTTCATCCTCCCCAGAATCATCGAGATCTACCTGAGCTTAAACTCCCCTCTCGCCTTGCAACGGGAGGGAGCCCAGGGCTCGTGGATCTTATAAGCTCAGGGCTCTCTCCCGGGACAGCACGCCAAACTAGCTTTATTATCAATCCTCAGCTAAGTGTGAACTCTTGAAGGTCAATTGGTAAAGTTTGTTCCTCCGCTGTCGCCACTGGCTTGCTTGGTTTGGGACTTGTGGAGCTGCGCATTGATGGATTTGCTCTTCAGTGTTTGGACTTTCAGCAGTGTAAATTAAACCACACTGAACTAAACTAAACTGAACTCTGAAAACTGGACTGACACACTTTCAGTACACTAGAACTTCTATGTTCAGCTGCTTTGACACAATCTACATTGTAAAAGCGCTAGAGAAATAACGATGCCACAGAAGGATCATGTTATTTTCCATCAGCAGTGAACTAATCGTTTCTTTATTTGTAAAAGAAGTGACTTTAAAAAATCCAGTGTGCGACTTGCTATTATGCTGAATGACCAAGTTTGAGGCGTTAAATAGAAAACAAAAGGGCAAAAGAAGACAAATGCGTATAGTTTGGTTGATTTTTACAGCTGAAAGTCTCAGAGTTTCACCCGTTTTGCCCTGTAAATTGTCAAATGCAGCTCATGCATCAACTTAATAATGCCGTGTGTCAAAATCTGCTTTGCTACATAATCAGTTTAAGCACATGAGCGATCGTATTAGTAGGTAAGAAAAGAAACCAGAACTCAACGCATGTCAAAATAGCATCTACTCAAATTCAAACGTCGCTCTGAATTTACAAGATCCGTACAAAAATAACAAGAACCGGATATATCCATAGATATTATTGTGCATAAAATCAGATTGTTGGTCACACACGGATGTTTCTAGCTGCTGCACATGTACTTCTGCGTGAGACTTTGATTGCTGACGAAAACCGGATCCACCGTGGCCACTTTGGCAGCGATGAACGAGTGGATGCAGTGAAGGACAGCGGTCAGATTAGCAAACTCCAGCTCCTGGAAGACAAGAAATAAGACGTGTCACGCTTGTTTGTAAATCCTGTATGACTGATGAAGAGCTGTTGAATAATTAGAAAAATAATGCACACCTGTGGTTGTGATATGACCAAAACATGTATTACTTACTAATAATTCAATGGTCTGGAGTCAATTATTCTACGTATACCACATCTAAAGATACTACATTTGAGATATTTGTTGGGTTTTTGTTTTCAGACTGCTCCTAGTTTCTTCCACATCTCCTCCGAGGCCTTCTGTTGTGTATGGATGTAATTTTTTGACTGTTGTAGCTGTGAAAAACTCATTCAGCATAATGATATGGAGCAGTAATGTGCTCAAAACCTGCCGGAACTACTTTAGCTGTGCATTTATCTTAAAATAACGGCACACCTTAGAATCATTCAGACAGAATCGAGCATTCATCAGCCCCGTAGTGTTAATGGTGAAGAAAACAATTAACCAAAAATATGTTTGTAAGAATTTTATTTAAGAAATAATTGATAACGAGCTGCTAATTAATAGAAAATAATGCACGCCTGAGGTAGTGATGTGGTCAAAACCAGAATTCAACCTCAAATTTGCATTATTTTCTAATAATTCAATGGGGAAGAGTTAATTATTCAAATTAAAGTAGTTTCCGCACCTTCAGATGCTGAACACATTGTAGCTGTGTGTTTACAGTGTGTGAAAATAATTGCAAACCTTATGGCTCCTACGCACCGGGACGTTTTTAAGTTTGCGTTTATCGTCAGCGTTTTACGAGACGTTTTTTAGTGTTCAAACCTAAGCGATTTTCTCTGGCGTCAAGCAGACGAGTATGCTAAATCACTCTTTTGACGTTAGATGGCGCTGCACAACTATAAGCTTCTGACACCCGGTTATAACGCAGAAGAAGAGGAAGAGAGGAAGTTCACACGCTTGTTGTTAAATTTACTGGTGACTCGAACAAGCATGGACAGTTCAAGCAGCAGCTCCAGCTCAAGCGATGAAGAAATGATTAGTGTTCAGCAGAGCAGTAAGCAGCTCCACGTTCATATCGCCTCTGGGCATCTTCTTCAATGTGCGCTCTCATTGACAGTTTTGCGCTTGAGCGCCTCCAAGTGCTGTTTACGGTAACTTCAGCAGCTCCGTGCACATGAACAAAAGGCCCGCGCGTCAAAACAAAAAAACGAGCATGAGGCGTTTGTTTTAAAATGACGCTTTTGCGCCTGCCGATTTGCGTGTTGGTGTGCACAATCACATTGACGCCCTTTATTTAGTAACGAGGCATTAAACGTTGACGGAAAACGCAAGCAAAAAACGTCTCGGTGTGCACAGGCCTTTATAGTGGCCGTACAGACATTGTTCCTCTCTAATGGACTATTTTCAGTTGTTTTTCAATATAAACATGCATTTGATGGACAGGTGTGACTGTTAAGGTTCCGTTTTCAATGTAAACACACACTTGATGAACGTGTGTGACTGTTACGCTGGCGTCTTGGGTTTTTTGAAGTGCCATGCACATGAGCACCACGGTTTTAGATACCTTCTCAAGTTGAAAGATCTTCAACTTTCACACTCAATTGTTTCAGGTTTTTTTTCTTCAAACTATAGGACTAGTTTCTTACACTTCTCATCTAAAGACTTCTACAACTGAAATGCACTCAAATCCTGCCGGAACTACTTTAGCTGTGTGTTTTCCTCAAAATCAATCCACATCTCATTGTTAGTTATATGTGAAGATGCACACTCTTTTTGCAATTTAAGTTAACTCAATTATCCATACATAATTGTTTAGCAAACCATTAAATGATTACAATCTTTTCAAGGAAGATATTTTCTGGACCTTCACCATTCCTCAGGAGTGAAATAATCTTTCTAGAGTTCACTTCTTGGCTTTTCAACCTAATGTTCACATGTAAACACATTCTGACCTTCATTTCGATCTGTTTATTCTCTGAGTTCTGGAACAGAAGCTTCACACGTGTCTTGCCGTCATCAGATGAACCCTTCAGTTGGGAGAACTTATATTTCCAGATGATTTTCTGAGGAAAAAACAGCAAAAATTAACAGCTGAAAATGAAAATATTTAGCTTGGAGTGAAATCTGAAGACTTTGCAGCAGAATTCGCATTAAATTGACATTTAAAATTAGCGTCAAAAATAGTTTTTTTTTGCGTTTTCGTAGCGTCAATCTGATGTTGTTTAGCAAGATGCAAGTATTTAGCTTAAAGTGCAATTTAAAGACTTCAACTTTCAGGCAGCTTGATGTAAAAAAAAAACATGTCAAAACAAACAAATCAATTTGATTTCAACTGATGACAAAACAACATCAAATTGACATGACACTGGTGTACAAAAACACAAGTTAGACGTCAATTTGATGTGTGAATATTTAGCTATCAGTATTTAATATTTAGCAAAATGCTAGTATTCAGTTTAAAGTGCAATTTAAAGACTTCGCAGTAAACAGCTTAATGTCAAAATGACGTCAGAATCGCATAAAAAAGCTGAATTATTCAAAATTATTTGATTTCAATTGACCGCCATGTCAAAACAAAATCAATTTGACATCTAATTATGGTGTCTACAATTATGTTTTTTGATGCAGACTTTAGATTTTAACTTGATGTAGTGGTGCAAGATATTTATAATCTGTAGTTACTAGTATTTAATATTTTGCAAGATACTCCTATTAAGCTAAAAGTGCAATTTGAAGACTTCGCAGCAGGCAGCTTTAGGTCAAAGTAACATCAAAAAAAGTAAAGAAAAAAAATAGATTTGATCTTGCTGTCAAAACAACATCAAATTGACATCGAAAATGAAAGTTAAAAGCTGCAAAAGAAGCCTCTTTTAATGAAAAACTTCACTTGAAACATTGACATCACATTACATTGCAACTTTCCACTGTCAATGCACACTTTGGGCTCTATTTTAACATTCTAGGCACAAAGTCTAATGCTGTGTTCACACCAGACGGGGAACGCGCGGATAAATCGCGATATTCGCGCGTAAATAGCCGAGTGAACATTTGAGTTTACTCGCTTTATTCGCACGTCAAACCCCGCTTCATTCGCGTTTCAAATTCAAATCAGAACAGACGCGGATTCGCGTGATGGGCAGGGATTCTGTCTGCCCGAAGACTCTAGCTTCATAGCTAAATGGCTAACATGGATTTTATGAAGAAAATAACAGTGTTTATGTGCTTAATCAAGACTGAAAAACAGCATCGATACGTTTAGGGTCGTGTCTGGCTCCACTACATCCTTTCAGAGGTGCATCCAGCTCTGTGAGCTCATAAACTCCTCCAGAAACTTAACCTGGATGACGGAGGCTTTCAGCGGTGCTTCTGACTGAGCCAAGCCCAGTTTGATGAACTGTTGTCGGTGAAGGCTGGAGGATTTCCTTGGGAACACCAACAACAGGTTCTACGTCACAATCACGCCCCTACAAGAGCAAGCTTCTGATTGGTTAACGCGGCGCGAATGTACGCTGAAGTTCAGATTTTCAAATTCGAGAGATTCGCGCGTAACGCTCGTTACGCCAGTCAAATGCACAAAACGCTCAATTCGCCCCGCGCCATTCGCGCAATTTGCGTCATTCGCGCCACGCCATTCGCACGTATCGCACCGCAGGATGTCTATTCGCACATTTGCATTGACTTAACATGTAAATCACTCGCGCTTGACGCGCGTTCCGCGTCTGGTGTGAACGCAGCATAATGCACATGGCGCAAAAGCATTAAGGCCGTGTCCACTTTTGATATTTAGGAGATGGAAAAATACACTGAAAAATACCCCAGCGCATGGTCTAACAGGGTTGTGCTTATTCTCCAAATGAGTTCTGGGTGTGTTTTAAGCATAACGTGCAATAAACCAACCAGTCTCGTCTCCCATTCCCTCTAAGAGTCAGTTGAGTCGCACCATGGTGCAATTGCTATTTACATGGCGGACTTTGTAAGTGTAAAAACTGAACACTTCACTAGCGAGAAAACAGTTAAACAGAGCATCTGCAGCACGAGAATAAAGAACGAGCCTCCTCCATTTAGCCTCTTTACTTTCTCTTTACTTTTACTCTTTACTCCTTTACTTTGCTGGAGTAAGTAAACGGTGTTGTACGCATTCCACTGAACACATCCATTATCCTACATGTCTAATTCAGTTTGTTAAGCTCAAAGATTTGTTTCAAAACTATTTCTAAATTCAGCTCTTATTTCCAGCAAGCAAATAAACTAACAGTAATAACGAAGTGTGGTCAAAAAACAAAACACACATCCTGTTCTTGTGCCCCATATGATGATGCAGACGTCTCCAAAACCACACAGGTGGACAAATCTTTTATCAAAACAAATATAAACATGACTATAATGCCTATAAGTCACAAAAACTAATGTTAATAATGCTGATAAAAAATAAATAAATAAATAAACATTAGGAAAGCTATATGACCCAGCCCTACTTTAAAATAAAAGTCACTATTTAACATCATTATAGAGCATGGAAGAGCCAAGATGAAATTGAAAACTACTCTGTGTTTGTCTGACAGAAAAAAAGTCATATCAACCAAGGATGGATTAAGGGTGAGTAAATTATAGGGTAAATTCATTTTCGGGTGAACTATTCCTTTAAGTTCATTAAAATATCTTGTTACTAAAATAGCAAAGTGTTGAACTTTTTCACTTTTCATTTTAGTGCTTAAACGGCAACATAAGCAGCATAATATGACCTTTCAAACTCAAATCATGAATAAATAATATAAGAAATAACATGAATTTACTGAACTATTTCCAGTTAGGGAAATGAGAAGATGTGCGAGGACTCGTTGAGTTAAACACAGACGTCATGAGTGCATCAGAAAACCCAAGACAATCACGTTTAACGCACTCCTGACTGCTGCGCAAATCACAGCCTGCTATTCCACCCAGGAACAATGCATGCCGGATTTAGACAGCACAATTAAATTGGCCTTTCAGCCCTGAAATCAGCCTGTTCCCGTGTTCAGATCCGCAGGAGTGACGGATCATCATTAACTGCACCTGCTGAACTCATTTCATACTGAAACACCAGCGAGTCGGGAAACCAGGTTTAGCTAACATGGCAGCATTATTAGCCCTGCTGTGAAATTAGCTTTTTTTTAAAAGAATACAAGTGGAGAAATTTTTTTTTTCGACACATTTCTAAACATAATAATTTAATAATAACTCATTTCTAATAACTGATTTATTTTATCCTTGCCATCATGACAGATATTTGACTAGATATTTGTCAAGATACTAGTATTCAGCTTAAAGTGCAACAGTATGATCCAGTTGATCCAGGACTGATTTCAAATAATTTTTTTTGAAATTATAAAATGTTTAGTCCAGTGCATTTCTTTTTTGACATTACTTAAGCATCCATAACATTTTTTTCATTTAGAGCATTATAAACACTGGATGATGGATAATAAAGCCCAGAGTGTCTTCTTTCCAATGATACATCAACTGTGAATGTAGACCAAATCATTCAGCAACTGTAAATGTTTTAGCTTTGGGAAGATATTTTTGGAGAAAGTGCCTCTGATGATGAGGGAGAGAAGGACATCAACATAGCCTCAGAAAACTTTAAACAGAAATCTCATTTTGCATGCTATTGTCATCAAATTTAAAATGTAAACTCATGAAATACTTGGCTTTCAAGTCATATTTTTTTCTAAGACATTACATTAATGTTTTCCTGTGTTTGTATATGAAAAACTAATATTAAACACTATACAAATTTTTTTTCCTCATGACTTCATAATGTATAACTTTTTATATATTTTTTTAACATACAACTTCTTTTACCACAGTAAAGCTCAAAGTGTCTTCTTTCCAATGATATATGATTTGTGTTTGTAGCTTACTGGAGTCAGGAACTGTTACTATTTAAAGTTAGGTAAGTGTAAATCCCCAAAATTGAGTGCTGGCTAACAGGTTAAAGACGTGTGCAGCTTAATGTCAAAATTATGTTAAAAATACAAATCATGTTTTTTGATGCCAATTTTAGACATCAATTTGATGTTATCTGCACCCCAAATCGCATGCTCATGCACTATTCTACGCCATTTTGTAGTATAAATAGTGTAAGTAGTGTGTTCACACTGAAAACTCTAATAATAATAATAAGTGCACTTTAATTACCCGGATGAAGCACTCATTGAGCCGGTAAAGTGAAGTGTGGAGTGATGGAAACTTCACAGACTCAACGATCGCAGGTTTGCTCACGTAGCGGAAGCGGCGGACAAGGTATCACTTGAAATCAAATTGTTTTGTATTTTTAAACATGTTTATTTAGATGTGACTTCAGTGTCATTTTGACATCAAGTTTCCCACTGCGAAATCTTTAGGTCGACTTTAAGGTAAATACTAGCAACTTGCAAAATATTAAATCCTAGTAGCTCAATGCTAGTATCTTGCAAAACAACATCAAATGTACATCTAACTTTGGCAACAATAGTCATGTTTTTTACTCAATTTTTTGATGTACATTTGATGTTGTTTTACATCAAGGTAGTTAATTGAAATCCAATCATTTGGTATTATGACATGTTTTCTTTGACATGATTTTGATGTCAGCCCCCCGCAAAATCTTTAAATTGCACTTTAAACTAAATACTAGCAACTTGCAAAATATTAAATCCTAGTAGCTCAATGCTAGAATCTTGCAAAACAACTTCAAGTGGAAATCTAACTTTGGCCTCAAAAGTAGTGTTTTTTACGCAATTTTTTAATGTAAATTGGATGTTGTTTTGACGTCAAGCTAGTCAAATGAAATCAAATCATTTAGTATTTTTCAACATGTTTTTTTTGACGTGATTTTAATGTAATTTTTTCATCAAATTGCTGACTGTGAAGTCCTTAAGTCCCACTTTAAGCTAAATACTAGCATCTTGCAAAATATTAAATCATAGTAGCTAAATACTAAAAAAATAAATACTAAATACTAGGGGTGTAACGATTTATCGTTTTGCGATGCAAAAATGTCACAATATGCATCGTGGCGTTATGACGATTTGATTACGATATG